GGCCTACTATAGTCATCCGGCCTACCTTGCAAACCATGGGCAACTGGCCTACTATGGTCCAATGAATGCAAACCATGGCCATCTACTGGCACTGGAGATTTAAGAGAAGCCACCCGCCAGAGATGTGAAGATTAGGAGAATTGCTCCTTAGTCTTGGAAAGATGTCATGCTTTTATTTATGGCTATGGTCATTGCTTTTCTTATTTGGAAGTTGATGTAGGCTTAGTTTCGTAGAACAGTAGGTGGACTTTGTTGTATGTGGTCAATGAAACAATGAATTTGTTCTAGGTGAACATATGCTATTATTTGACTTTGTTGTATGTGGACTTATTATTAGACTTTATATGAACATATGCTATTAGTAGTTGCCCGCATCCAAAACTAACCACGATCGTGTCACATCCATGACTCATCGTCGCCTGTTACCCCATCGCCGAAGAACATATCGGCAACAAGAAGCGGCTGATATCGCTGGGACGGGAGAGCCACATGATCCGACAAACGGTGATGGTGTCAATCAGGACGGTGAGAACGAGCAACCATGGACCCCGTCTGGCCTGCTCGATCTGGGTCAAAATGACCAAGATGGCCAGGTAACTTTGGTATCATGTGACTATGTAGCCACACACGCTAATCAATTAAGAGGGTCATAGCTTACTTGGTGTCTCTAGCAGGAGCCTCCGCCGGCTGAGGAGCCAGAGGGTTCGGGTAGCAAGAAGGCCAGATCCAAGCGAGGTGTGTTAAAGATTCCTGTTGGTAGGAATGCACACTGGCACATTACTGAGTTCGATAAATTCGGGGATCCACTCTCACTGCCTATAGCTTTGACCAAATACAAGACTATCCTTGGGTTACTTATTAGGGACTTCATCCCGACTAGGTATAGGAAGTGGATTGGGAAAGATGATGACCCGTGGAGGGTTCCCAAAAGTGAGAAGGATTACATATGGGATGTCAAGATCCCAGAGTATTTCACTTTACCAACCGAGTATGATAGGGAGTTAGTCAAGAAAAAAGCAAAAGAAATCATGGGGACATGCTTCCAGAATTTCAAGAGGACATTGTACAAAAATTTTGTCCTCCAAAATAAAGAGCCAGATTTCGATGGTGGACAGTTTAGCAAGCAGAAGGACTTCTGGTAGGATTTCAAGGAATATAGGTTATCCGAGGAGTACTTAGCACTGAGCAGGAAGAATAAGGAGAACTCGCAGAAAGCGATGAATCCTCATCATCTCGGCTCTCGTGGCTACGCCAAAAAGATGCCAGAATTTGAAGCAGAACTTCAAAAGATGGATCGCCTTGCTGAGGAAGGCGTTCAGGTTGACACCACGGAGGCCAGATCGATATTATACTATATGCGGAGGAATGTACAGCACGCCGAGGATGGGAGCTTTAGCTCCACAAATCAACCCATGAGCGAACTCATCCAGAGGATCTCCTAGGTAACTGAGGAGGTGAGGCAAGGGACTTGCACTTCTAATAGGGAGAAAGACGAGCTCACCCAAGCACTCGAAACCAAGGAGCACTCTGGTCGCACTAGAGGAACCGGTGTTGTTCCTTGGAAACTAGCATTCCCCCAAGAATCTATCATTTACCGGAGCCGCTCGAGGGGTAGAGCGGAACATGAGGCAGAGTATTTGAGGCGACTAAAAGAGATGGAAGACAGAATGGAAGCACGGATTAAGGCGACTGTTGAAGCGCGAGTCGAGCAAATTTTGCTGTCCAAGGGGCCAGGAGTACCATAAAACCCTACTCCTACTACCTTTAGCCCACAGTTTAGGGGTCGCAGCAGCTGTGGATCAACCCCGCTCGATGAAGAAGAGGTGAATGTGCCTCATCTAGTGGATGGCATCACTGAACCCGTTAATGTCAAGTTGTACATCCATAAGAATGGACAAAGGACAAGGTGGCGCTCAGCCAGCCCTGGCCTGTGGGAGATGGAACAATTAATGGCCGCCCAATTCCACAGGGGTACGCTCGCATCACCATTGATAGAATACTTAATAAGAAGTATAACAAGATACCCAATGAGTACCCCATAGCGGAAGACAGGCCGAAACTTGGTCCAAACAAGGGCTCTCAAGTGGCCTGGCGCAAGCGCTTCATTAAGCTTGACAATCAATTGTCCTCTGATGATGAGGACGACTGCGAGTCTTCGCCCACCCACGATGATCACTCACCATCTCCCAACAGAGATCACTCCCCTCCTCATCGGAGCCATCACCCCCGAGAAGACAGAGGTCTCCTTCTATTCCTCCTCGTCCGACTCCATCTTCATAAGCCCCGAGAAAAGAGACTCATCCTCCTCCTCCTCGTCCTCCTCCATCTTCATCAGCGCCGGGAAAACAGAATTCTCATTATCCTCCTCCTCCTCCACCTCAGCCCAAAACAAGATCAAGGACATCCTCGCAGTCGCAGAAAAGGTCTTGGATTCGGTCGCTAATGCTCCCAAAGTGGACCAACAGAAAAGAAAAAGGTCGTTCAGTGGCAGCGTTACCACCTTGATGAAAGAAAAATTTACAACACTCATCTCGAAGGAAGATTGTGTTAGTTTCTTCAATCTCTGTGCCTCACTGCCTTCAGTTTTTGTTGAAGTCCAAATTCAAAAGGCAAACACAGAATAGATACGCTACAACAAGAGATGAAGAAATACACAATAAAGATTTAAGGAACATACAGAAGTACATCGAAGACAACCTAGGATTAACCATGGAAGAGGCCGCGAACATCTATTATGATATACAAGGGATGAGAACACCGGCAATGAAGTATGAAAGGGGCAATCTTTTGGTTCCCGGTCATGAGTATAAAAATCTGACAACATATATGCACCAGTTACATGAATATTACATAACTCAAGCAATAGAGATGGACGACTTTGGTTTTGAGGTTATTATCCGTTCGCCACATGTTTTCCATTATCCTGAAGAAGAGAAGTTCGATATCGAGTGGGAGTGCTTATTCCAGCTATACCAGAAATGCTCTCTCGATGTTCAAATGTTGACGCTGTGTACTATGTAAGTACCCTACACGTACGATATTACAATTAACTACTCTCTCGAGACACAAATTGTTAACTTTTGAGCACTTAACATGATTTATGTAGGTGTATAGCAAAATTTTGTATTCTAAAAAGCAAATGGGATTACATAGACTTCTTAGACCCCTTGTGAGTCAATGAGAGGACATGTCTAGGCCTCCATGGATGTTACATGGAAGACCTGAAACAGAGATTGATTGATGTTTTAAACGAATTCACGATGAAGAAGAAAACCCATATACTTCTAGCCTATAACTGCGAGTATGTGTTCTCGGCTTTTAATTTTATGCTTTTTTTGTTAAGATTATTCGATAATTAGGATTATGTGATTGCAGCAACCATTTCATCTTCATTTGTATCAATCTTGCCAAAAATCTGATCGAGGTGTGGGACTCGAAGAAAAAACTATTTCATCATCTGGATGTACTGGTGGCAGTGCTGAATTAGTAAGCGATCCTAATAACATATTATTTTCTAATCACACATACCGTTTTCTGATGTTTCTCCCTTTAATGTTGCTCAGTGTCCGAAGAAGACATATCGGTGGGACGCCGGTCCCATTCAAGGTTGTCGAAATAGAGGGGAAGTACCTATCACAGCCGGCGGGAAACAATGAATGCGGGTTTTATGTAATATGGGCAATGCTTCGCTACATCGGCGGAAAATCGGAAGAAGCCGACAAGTTAGTGTGTATAATCCTCATTTCATTTATGTCTGTTAATAATTCAACAAAATAATTTACTGCTCCTCTTTGGATATCATCTTTTTTGAACGACAGCGCAAGAAATATAACCACCAAATGTTGTTAGACATGTAGATCGTCGCACTGCAATCAGAGCTCGCAAAATTCATCTTAGCCGAGGTATTAAAAAAAGATGGAGTATTTTCCATTGCACAATCCGTGAAGTACAAGGACTAGTATGGCATAGAGCGGCTCACCATATTATTGTAAGAAGTCCGAGAAGCATTGCACAATCTGTGAAGTTCGAGAACATTTCTTTTTTATTTTGAGGGATCGAGATCTAGATAAGAATATTTGAACTGTAACCGTAACATTTGTAATGTTTAATATTGATGGACCTATCGTCTACGTAGCGTATATAAAGTGAAACTCAATTCCACGAAAAAATATAAAATAAAATAAATTATAAAACAATAAAATGCGAATGGGCCATCACTACCGGTTAGCAACGAACCGGCAGTGTTGTCGTAACCATCACTATCGGTTATCAACAAACCGACAATGTTGTCTTGCTCAACACTGCCGGCTTGAGTCATAAACCGACAGTGTAGGCTTGCTCAACACTATTGGCTTGAGCCAAGAACCGACACTCTTGAAACAACCATCACTGTCGGTTGGGACTACAAACCGGCATTGTTGTTCAACTAGACACTGTCAGGTAGAGTCAGGAACCGACATTGTTGCCTGTAGATCAGTGTCGGTTTTTAAGAACAGACAGTGATGTCAATTCCCTATCACTGTCGGTATGCCACTGTCGGTTCAAAATCCGGCAGTGAAGGAGGTTTTTGAACTGACAGTGATATCCAGATCTGGGGTAGTGAAGGCACCATTTTACTTATTTATACCACATTTCACTTACACATAGCCTCTCAACTTGTACAAGCGTACTTAGACAAACAGTGTCACCAGATAAACTAGCTTCTGCTAGGTCCCTCATCAAACAACATCACGATAACACAGGAGTACACAGCTAGCCCTCCCATCAGAGAGCCATGGCCGCCGTGCATGCATCTACCACTCTTTATTCTCACGTCTCTCTACATACGTGCAGCAAGACGTATACACACGTACGTACGTATACACGGGCGTATATACGTACGAACGAGCAGTAGTACTTGGTCGATGGGTCCCTGCAGAGAGCCACGCACGGTGACACGTACACGTGCACCCTTTTATTATTTAGCCGCGCCACGCCGTGCACGTCGTCGTCGCCGGCCGTCACACCACCTGGAGGATGGCGCCGGCGGCCACCGTCTCCCAGCCACGGCGGCCGCGGCGGCAGTCGCGCACGCACTGCTGCTTCTTGTCCCAGTCGCGGTAGTGCTGGCACTGCTTCTGGCACCGGTCGCCGCGGTCGCTGTTGTCCTCGTCGGCGGCGTCGTCGCGGGCGCCACCTTCCTCCACCTGTCGCCCGCGCTCGCACCGTTCCATGCACCGCAGCTTTTTCATCCAGTCGCTGTGGTGCTGGCATCTCTTCTGGCACCGCTCGCCGGGGTACCTGTCCTCGTCGGCGGCGTCCTCCTGCCCCCGACGCTGGCAGCGTTGCACGCACCACTGCCTCGCCTGCCGGTCGCTGTAGTGCTGGCATCTCTTCTGGCACCGGTCGCTGTCCTCGTCGTCGGCGTCCTCCTGTTGCTTATGCTCGCAGCGTTGCACGCACCACCGCCTCGCCTGACGGTCGCTGTAGTGCTGGCATCTCTTCTGGCACCGGTCGCTGTCCTCGTCGACGTCGGCGTCGTCACGGCTACCGCCACCGCCCTCCTGTCGCCGGCGCTCGCAGGCCTCGACGCACTGCTGCTTGCTCCCCCGGTCGTGGTGCCGCTCGCACTTCTTCTGGCACTGGCAGCGGTCGCCGTCGTCCTCCTCGCGGCGCCGGCCGCCGCTACCGCCCTCCTCCTGCTCCCGGCTCTTGCAGTCCATCAAGCAGCGCTGCTTCTCCCACCAGTCCCCTCGGTGGTGGCGCTCGCACCTCTCCCGGCACTTGCCGCCCTCGCCGCCGCGGCCACCACGGCCGCGGCCGCTCTCGTACTCCTCCTCCTCCTCGTCGGCGGCGTCAGCGTCAGCATGCTGGTGCCGCTTGCGGCACTGGCTCTCGCACTCCCGCTTCCGCGGGGTGTCCTCTCCGTACTGCCACTCGCACGCCTTCTTGCACCACCGCAGGTCCTCCTTCTTGCCGTCCGGGTTGTCCACTCCGCCTTCTTCTTCCGCGCCGGCGGCCGTGGCGGTTGCGGCCAGCAGCACGCCGGCGAGCAGGAGGAACGCCCACCATGCACCCCCACTACCCTTCCCCATGTCCGTCGTCTGCCACTCGACCAGCGATCGTCGACAGATCACAAGCTACTACTACTACTACAGCCCGGAGTGGATTGTGTGATGGACGAAGTGAGATGGGTTGGTCGATGGCCATGGCCGAGCATGAGGCGAGGTATTTATAGAAGCGTGGGGGAAGTGGATAATCGACGCGGCGCATGCGTCGGGACGAGGAGGAGGAGATCGATCGATCGGGGACGTGGCGGCGTGCATGGCAACGTGGCGCGGCCCGCGCGGCGTGGGCGTCGCGCGGTGGCTGTCCGTGTTCGGTGTGACTTGGCTGCTAGCAGCCGAGCTGCACCGTGACAGTGAGCGAGCGAGCATGCGACGACGGCCGCCGAGGTGGCGTGGCGCGCGGCGCGGTGTGCCCGCGCGCCACGTGACCACAGCTTGCAGGGGAGGAGTGCTTGGGATTTGGAGTGTTCGCTGGAAAAAGATAGACTGGCCTATCCTTCTTTATCCTCATGAGGCCCTGAACAGGTAAGGGAAAGCATGAGACTGACGTCTTGGTAGAGCGGGATTGCCCTCAGAAGATGTCTGTGACCTTGAGCATGGAAATGGGTCCTTGCCAACAGAAGTATGCAGCGTTGATGCCGGGCAGGGGAGTAGGTGAAGGGTGTCGTTTCTGGGCCTGTGCACGCCACGCAACGGATGAGCATGGCTGCACGGGGACTGCAGCCGTTCCATACTACGCACATAGGACTGAAAAACAACGAGCGTTTTTTAGTTGCCTTCTTTAAAGTTGTTTATTCCTGTAAGTTTTACTTTTAGAAAAAGTATAAAGTTAAGTGCAAATTATGTATAAAACTTTTAAAATAACTTTCTCATTTTTTTTCAAATTATTATAGACACTCACACTCACTCATATGAACTTACAAACACAACCTCTCGATGAGCACCTTTAAAAGACTGAGTTGACAAACTTTTATAGCATTTGTTGTGAACAAAGGTTATGTTACTAATATGAACATCTTAGTACACATAATAAGTAAAGTTTTCCCTGTTTCAATCCCTTTGGAAAACCGCATTGTACATTGATTGCTCAAAGCGAGCACTCTCGGATTCGATTTTTCTCCGTATATGTGTGTATGTAAATTAGTGGGCACTATGGTTACTATACATCTTTTTTTTTGAAAGATCCGTTACCGGCTTTCATTGAATTAAGAGAAGAACAAATACAAAGTTTTATCCGGCACAAGATGTGCCGCACCTATTTTGCTTGGGTCTCAGCAGCAGAGTCCCTCGCCACCCCTGAATCCCTGATTACACAAGAATACGATTTACATGAAGCAATAGACACAACCAGATGATCTACCTACTAGGCAGGCCCCGAGACCGGCAACAGCATGTCAAAATCACGATTCCCAGCTAGTCTCCATGTCCTCGCTTCATCCTGAATGCTGTAGACGATTTGGGATACTGTCCTAGTTACCTTTCTGAAGACGCGCGGTTGTTCCTCTCGCGCCAAATTTCCCATATCGTTAGCATGACCATCGACTGTAATCCCGGCCTAAAGGTGGGATCAGCAGGAGCTATCAAATCAGTGAACCACTCGCTCATAGTGGGGATGTCTTTCCAGTTTGCTGGCAGCAGAAACGGAGCCTGAATCCAGTTCGCTATCCCTTCCCAGACTTTCCTTGATACATGACACTCACAGAACAGATGCTGGGTAGTCTCCATGTTCCTGATACACAGTTGGCAAAAATATTCATTTGGCCAACCTCTGCGTTGCAAACGCGCAGCAATCCATATCCTGTCTTTCAGCATCAGCCATATGAAAAACTTGCATTTTGGTGGAGCCTTCGTTTTCCACGTCTGTGTTGCAGCCATACATTTAGTTCTGCCCTCAAATTGCATAGAGTATGCCGATTTGGCTGTATATTTGTCATCAGACGTGAGAATCCAGGTGATGGTGTCTTCCTGTTCCTCTATCAGAACTATATATTATCCAGCTCCTCCCAAAGCCTGATGTATTCCATAATGAGTTGCTGATTTAAGTTGTGATCAACGTCCGCAATCCATCCGTTGTTTGTGATTGCATCCGCCACCGTCCTGTTTTTCCTCTTGCTATGCCTATGCAGCCCCGGAAAGCAGGCCGCGAGAGTTTCACCATGCAGCCAGCGCGATGTCCAGAAGCATGCCTTGCGACCATTCCCCAAGGTTACGACGGTGGCTGCATTAAAAAGGGCTGTGTCATCCTCCGAGATTGGTAATTGCAATCCATTCCATGGTTTTTGTCCGCCGTCCCACTGGAACCACAGCCATCTCAGCCTTAGAGCCCGACTGAAAGAGTCCAGATCCTTGATGCCTAGGCCACCGTTGGGTTGGGGCATGCAGGCCCCCGGCCAAGCCACCTTACACTTGCCCCCGAGAGCTCTCCATCTCCCGCCCAAAGAAATCTTTTTCTCAGTTTATCTAATTCCTTTAAGAATTTTTTCGGGGCCTTGATGACTGTCAGCAGGTAGACAGGTAGAGAGCTGAGGACCGATCTGACGAGTTCGCGTCGGCCAGCCATGCTAACAAGCCGTCCCTGCCACCCTGCTAGTCTACCTTTTGCTCTATCCTGTATATAATGCAGGTGCACCATTCTCATTCTTCCCAGCGTTAGCGGCAGTCCCAGATATTGGATCGGGAATGAGACTGTCCTCCCTGTGAAATCTTGGAGGACCTCTTCCATGTCAATGTCAGCGCATCTGATCGTGGCAATTGAGCTTTTGGTCATATTTATCCTCAATCCAGTGGCATGCCCAAAGGCCTTCATAATTTCCATGATGCAGTTGATGTCAAATTTAACCGGGTTGGTGAAAATCATGACAACATCAGCATAAAGTGAAAGCCGCAACCTTGCTTGCCGGCCCTTCAGAGGCGTCAGGTGGCCTTTCTCAGTTGCAATGTCGAAAATTTTGCTCAGTACGTCCATTGCCAGGATGAAAAGGTATGGTGACAACGGGTCTCCCTGTCTCAGCCCCCTTGAGTGGTTAATCCTAGGTCCTTGGCTGCCATTCAACATGACTACTGATGAAGAGGTTTTGAGAACTGCTTGTTGCCAATTAGTCCATCTTCTGCTGAATCCCCTTCTACTCAGCATCTCCAGCATGTATTCCCAAGAGACCGTGTCGAAGGCTTTACTGATATCCAACTTCAATAAGCAAACCGGAGTTTTAGTTCTGTGGTAGTGCCTAGCTAACCCTCTGACATAGATGAAGTTATCCTGGATGCACCAGCCCTTGATGAAAGCATTCTGTGAATCTGAAATCAGCTTGTCGATATGATGTAGCCGGATAGGCGTAGTGCTGCACCTTGATGAAAAGGTTTGCAAAGGAATGTATAAGGCTTATCGGCCGAAAATCCTTGGGGTTAGCTGCTACTTCCACTTCCACCTTTGGGATCAATATAACTTGGGCCCCATTGATTTTTGCCAAGTGATCGCAGTGCTGGATGTGTATACTGTGGAATGCACTAACTATGTCGAACTTAATTATGTCCCAGCAGCACTTGTAGAAGTCATTCGTGAATCCATCCGGCCCCGGCGCCTTGCCATTCGGAAGGCATTTGACTGCATTCTCTATTTCTTCCTCAGTGAACGGCCGATCCAGCTCGAGTCCAGGCAGCTCCTGGATTTTGGACATGGTGAGCTTGTCCCAGTCCACGTGTTCTTGAGCGTGTCTCCTTTTTGCCCATAATATTTGAGAAATAGTCATGAATGATTTCTTCCTTTTCGTGGTGATCCCATGTCAAATTAAGTTCCATCCTGCCGTTTGAGAGAGTAGATATATTTCCTTCTTCTCCTTGCACTCATCTTTAGGTGGAAGAATCTGGTACAGGCATCGCCTGCTTTGATCCAGTTAACTCTGGAGGCCTGCTTCCACCTACTCTCTCCACGGCAGCCAGCCCAAGAGCTCTCAGCTTAAGGTCTTTCCTGAGCGTCTGTTCGGCATCAGATAATTGCCTATCCTCCTGCGCAATGTCCAGGCGGAGAATAACCTCGTTGGCAATGTGGAGCTGCAGCCGTGCCTTATTGAATAGAGGTTTGCTGCACGATTTGAGTGCTCTACGTGGCAGAAGCACCCAAATTATGCTGGCCCATGTGTATCCGTTATTGTCCTAAAGGTCTCTGACTACTGTACACGAAAACTAGATAATCCGATAGTCTGTCGGGTGTCCTCGAGAAACCCCGAATCATCCATATTTTACAACTCATACAGAATCAATGGACTTACCACAACATTACGACATTGATACCATACAACGATTTATATCGAAAGATGCCGGTTAAAGTAATATTTTGGACGTCGTGTCCACGTCTAAACTGTCACACATCTGTGAATAGAGTATACCCGTAGGTCAAAGCTAGTTGAAAAATAAAAGGCAAGTCAAACAATAAAACGCTAAGTTAAAATTATCTTAATGTTTTGTTAACATGAAAACAGTACCAAAAACGTCACTTAAGTTACATTTTCTCGTGCAAGTTACTCTTTCGTTCTAAATTATAAATTGTTTTGACTTATTTGGTTTATCCATTTTACTATGTATATAGACACATTGTTATATTTAGATGCATAGCAAAAATGAATATTCTAAAAAAGTCAAAATGACTTATAATTTAGAATCGAGGGAGTACTCTACAACCATCATGTTGACTTTAAAGTCACATTGCAATACTTACTTGTAAGCTAATTTTACAACTCATTCTCTGTTTATACCTGTTCCTACTTAAGATTTTTATGTATATTTGATCTCTACTAAAAGTTGAGCATGTTTTTTTAGATTAAAACATGTCAGTGGCCCCAAAATTTAGGAGGAGATGCCATTTAGGTCCCAAACTTCCAATTTTGGATTTTTGGTCCCTAAACTTGTCTGAGGCTCCCGCACTAGTCCAAACGAGTTTCGATCTGCTGCATATACATGCTAACATTGCATACTGACTTAGCATTGCCATGGTTCTGACACGTTGGATCCAGTAAGTAAACTTATACTATGGTGTCATCTAGGTCCCAAACTTCAAAAATTACGTATCTAGAACCCTAAACTTGCTAAACTGACAACATGAGGTATCTAAGTTTCACGACAGTGTCATCAAGGTCTCTAGCTTTTAAAAATATAGATCTAGGTCCCCAAACTTTTTAATTGGGCCACAGGAGGTCCAAATTAATGTTGTCTGTGGTAAACTGCCTTTGTGGCTACTGATTAGTCACATACCATGTGGGGCCCACATCTCATCTCTCTCTCATCTCCTTTTCCACCTGCTAGCTTCTTGGGTCGGACCGGTCCAACAGGCAAGGCCTACTCCCTTCTATGCGCGGCCTCCATTACGTCATCCGATGGCCACGACCACCTCCGCAGCCTCGGTCGCCTAGACTCGCCCCGCCCACTGCGGCCACATCCATCCGCCTCCACCGTGCCTCCCGCTCGGACTCGCGCCGCAACCGCCTCCATCCACCTGTCACGGCCACTGCCATGGTCCATGCCACCGATGAGCTTCGCACCGGCATCGAGCTCCACATCGACGACCTCGATTTGCTCAAGCAATTAGATGTTGCGCTGAAAGCACATGCCCCAACCATATGTTTTATGTGTTTTCAGATGTATGTTGCAAGTGTTTCATCTAGATATTGCAAAAGTAGATATATATGATGTTGCATATATTGCAATGTATATGTATGTTGCAAATGTATGTTCTAAATATTTTTCAGCTGTTTTAGACGTATGTTGCAAGTGCCAATTCAAAATGTTTCATCTGTTTCAAATAAATGTTACAAGTGTTTCACCTGGATATTGCATATGTTGCAGTGGCTATACACATATGTTGCAAGTGTATTCCCAAATGTTTTATCTATTTTCAGATGTATATGTTGCAGCAAGTGTTTCATGTTGCAAGTGTTTCATGTTTCAAGCATATACTCTTGGATGAGACGACCGGAGCATGCGGGACACGTGGATTCCCGCATGTGAGCGCAATATGAGTGCAGGCGGTCCCGCGTGCACGGGGCGGTCCCCACGTGCATGTGCGCGGGAAACAATGTGGTGCCATGCAGATGGAACTGTCCCTGTGTTTCCCGTGTACGATGGAGGCATGGGGTTTTCCGCTTACACGCGGGCGCGCGTGAAACGGAGTAGGTGCCCAGGCATGGGCATCCGTCCGTATGTTTGGGCGCTAGTATCTCTGTTTATGTATTAGACCTGGCCAACATGTATCTCGGTTTATGTATTAGATCCGGCCAACATGTCAGCTCTACGCGTCAGTGCTAAGTCAACATGCCACGTTAGCATATGGTCAAAACCTATAGTGCTCTAGCCTTGGACAAGTTTAGAGACCCTGAAATCAAAAAGTGAAAGTTTGAGACCTTGATGAATTTGGGGACTCAGTGCATGAGAGAGGTCCATTGACGATAACGATATCATACTACCATCTTTATGGCGAGTTGGCTGTATATTACGGATATTTAAGCAATGATTTCGATCAAGCTTAGGGGCAAGCTCTCTATGCAAAAAAGGTGGCAATGCACCCCCTTTTGATTCACATGATACCTAGAGAAGCTTTCAAAAATTTGTTACCGAGCAAGTCGTCTCGCTTGCATGGGATGAAAATTAGAGCCTGTGAGATATTGGGGACGGTGCTGCATGAAACAAGTGTTGCCTGTGATGCCCGAGCTGAAGTTTGCCATGCCATAGAATCTGAACCTCTGTTCCATCCCATGTTGTGTGCAATTTCTCTCTTCAAAGACCTGTGTAGTTGGCTGCAAGATGATATTTTTCTGGTTTGGGGCAACACCTTTAGGCACTATGGCTGGGTCCACCATGTGCCAGGGGATGAAGTCGAACTGAACATAGTGTCATATCTGTGGAGTTCCATGAGGAAACTGAATTAACTGTATATTAAGGAGTCGAGGAAGCCAAAGTTTAGACAGAGAACCAATCTCTAGAGCTCAAACTTGCACTGCAGGAATGAATCCCCAAGAAAGTTCAGAGAAAGAGCCAATCCTTATATACAAATTAACGTTTTTCCAATTGGAGCCGCTGGGTGTCTGAAATCTTGAAAAGCACATCGGCCTTCCCTCATTTGCTGAAAGTGTGTGCTGAAGGCATGTCGCATTGTCGCTGCAGAATGTTTCTGATTCTGATGAGACAGATGCATGGCATAAAGACAGTGCTGAAGTGCTGAATGAGTTTTACGTCGTCTGGTAAGGATAAGGAATACAGACCTCATTGGTGTTAGGGACATGCAGAAGTAGTTTGCATTCACTTGGTTTGTAACGCAATCAAACAGAACTCGCATAGTGCTGTATACGTATATTGTACGAAAACAGTTATATAATCTACCAAAACGTCTGCTCATGCTAAAAATGCATGGAAAAGCACCTCCTAAGATGTTCCTAAAACATGATTTAGCATGTTTTACTACTACTACTACTTGCTATCAATCTGAAACTATGTAATGACCTCCCATATCATCCTATCTGTTGGGGTACACGTTATCATAAATATCAATCTGAAACTAACTAAGTAGCGTCGATGGAGTTGAGGATGGATCTAGATGCAATTCAGGAGGATGATGGCGGCGGCTACAAGTATGACAAGCTCTGGCAGCAGATCTGGCGCTCCGGAGGATGGTGGCGGTGGAGAGGTGAACGTCGGTGGCGCTACGGGCAACGACGACGACCCTGCGGTAATCCCAAAATAAAACGAAACGCTATCAGAACACCAGATTCGATCGACATGAGCAGCTGCACCTGCTGTCTATACGCCCCCAATGCAACGTTAGCGATTGGTGATTAACCGTACCTGAAGCTGAAGGCGGCTGCGCATTCGAAGCGTCTGCAGCCGCCGGAGGCTGAGCCGGCGGGGTGTCCTGCGGCGCGTAGGGAGGGAGCACCAGCCCTTCCACTGCAAGAAGACACAAAGAGCCGATCCATCAGAAAACAGTTTAGTTTTGCGTCCATGGACCATGCATGGAGGGCTTGCTAGTTACTGTTGCAGAGCTCGATGGGCGGCTGGGCCTGGCCGCAGCGGGCGGGGATCTGGAGCCCGTCGGCGACGTCGACGTCGTACCCGGTGGCGCGCCCGTACGTGCCGTCCGCGACGTAGCAGAGGCAGAAGGGGTCGGCGTCGAAGGCGGCCTCGTACGCCGCGCAGCACGCGGCAGAGGGCGCCGCCGCGCCGCCGTACATGAAGCTCTCGCACTCCTTCAGCCCGGCCAGCGAGTCCCGGCAGTACCCCTGCGCCGCCGCGGGAACCGTCGTGCAGAGGAAGGCAGCAGCGGCCGCGACGAGGATGAGGAAGAGGTGGCGTCGGCGAGGCGGCGCCATGATGATGGGACGACCGAGACGGGATGGATGCAGAATTGGAGATCAGGGCGAGAGCGAGGCTACCTACGTCGTTTGTTTGCTTTGCGACAGGTATTTATAGTCGGGATTTGGAAGAGGAGTCTTGGAGAAACAAGCAAGGTTGTTTTGGATTTGGAAGAGCAGCATGACTTTGGCGTCCCGTGCAAGAAACAGACAAGCGGACAGCGCCTCTCCTCTCGTAGTAGAGGAGGACAGCAGCTGCACGCCCTCACGCTCAGGTTCGGCTACCTCCCTGGCGAGGCCTTCGTACCGGAATCCTCAAATTTGCCGAGTGTTTTTATGTTTGTCGAGTGTATTCTCTCGGATACTCGGCGAATAATATCTTTACCGAGTGTTGCGTTAAAAACACTCGGTAAAAAAAACACTCGGCAAAGAGGTGGGTTTGCCGAGTGTAAAAAAAAAACACTCGGTAAATAAATAAAATCTTTTTTCTGGAAAAGAAGGAGAAGAAAAAAAAAACTTTGCCGAGTACTCAGATCTAGAACACTCGGCAAAGAAATAAAATATTTTTTCTGAAAAAGAAGGAGAAGAAAAAAAAAAAAAAAAAACTTTGCCGAGTGCTCTAATCTAGAACACTCGGCAAACAAAAAATATCCTACCACCCCTCCCGTCCCCAGACCCCCACCCTCCCGTCCCCACCCCTTCTTCTTCCCCTCTCCTCCCGGCCCCCAGCGCCCCTCCTTCCGCCGGCGCCGCCTCCCTCCCCTCCTCTCTCGGCTGCCCTCTTCCCCTCCGGCCGCCGCCCCTCCCCTCCGCTCTCGGCCCCCTCCTCCCTCCCTCCCTCGTCGGATCTGGCCGCCGCCCCTCCCCTCTGCTCTTGACCCCCTCCTCCCTCCCTCCCTCCCTCCCGGATTTCCCCGGATCCGGCCTCCGCGCCGCCCCTCCCCTCCGGATCCGGCCCCACCGCCTCCCACCACGCCCACCCATGACGCCCCACCGCGCTCCTCCCGTGCCCCACCGAGCTCCTCGCGCCATGGACGGCAGCGGGAGGCCCTCAGCGCAGTGGCCCAGCACAGCGACCACCCAGCGTGATGTAGCGCTGGCACAGACGGGCCCTGGTGCGGCAACCCCGGCGTGGCGGCGGCGCGGATCTAGTGGCGCGGTGACCCCGACAAGGTAGGCCCTCCTCCTGGATCCAGGGTTTCGGCGAGCTTTTCTCCTCTCTCTCCCAACTCCGATCCAACGCAGGGAGGACGGTGCAGGGAGGCCGACGGGACCGTGGGGAGGTGGCGCGGCTGCGTCGGGCGTTGTGGGGAGGACGGCGCGGCTATGGGGAGGCGGCATGGGTGGTGGCTTGGATGGAGGCGGAGCAGGAGGTGGCCTTGGTGGTGGAGCAAGCAGAGGAGGCGGGCTTGGTGGCGGCGGTGGTGGTGCTGCTGGCGGAGCTGGAGGTGGTGGTGGCGGCTGGTGGTGGCGGCCGGTGGCTGGTGCTTGTTTTTTTTTTCAAAAAAATGTTTGCCGAGTGTTTTTGGGGCACTCGGCAAAGTCTTTGCCGAGTGCCCGACAAAAAACACTCGGCAAAACAGCGTTTGCCGTTAAACCTTTTGCCGAGTGTCGTTTGCCGAGTGTAGCACTCGGCAAATGGTTTGCCGAGTGTTTTGGGGACTTTGCCGAGTGCCAGGGACACTCGGCAAAGCTCCTGTATCCCGTAGTGGGGCCGCCTCGTGCTGGCGCAAGGAGAGCTGGGGAAGAGCCGACTGCTTCATGGTTTCCAGTGTGCTCACCACATGTACGTGCAGGCCTGCTAGGACATGACCTTGGGCGTGCTCTGCACGCAGTTGCTGTCCGTTCCTGCATTGATGCAAACATTTTTGTTGCCAGTGCATTGGTTGACATGTATGGGATATTGGGAAGTGTGGCCGCATCCAAGACGCTGATGAGCATATGTATTTTTCGAGATGCCACAGCGGAATCTTGCCACATGGAATGCGATGATAGGAGGTTAGGCTCATATTGGTGATGCTTGGAATGCACTTGCATTGTTCGATGAAATGATAATGGGTCGAGAAACAGCACCCAAATACATCACACTTGTCAATGTTCTCACGGCATGCACCAGAGGAGGTTAGGTTTGACAAAGGAGGGGTATGAGTTGGTCGAGACAATGAAGCAGAGTTTTGGGATTGAACCAAAAATTGATCATTATGCATTTATGCTTATGTGGTGGACAATGGACTTGCTTGGTCGTGCACGAATGGAAGAGTGAAGCACCCTTTTAAAAAAATCTGTCAGTGAAGCCAAATTTGATCAAAGTAACTCTATTATTATTGTATTCATTTGCAGGGGCTTCCTACCTTGTAAAGTTTACCTGCTTCAAGCCCAAGAGAAATGAAGTTGCAACGGCTGATCACTTCCTAGAAGAACAGCTTCAATGAAGCCCAAGAGCTGTTGCTTGCCAGGTTTTTCTCTCTGGAGAGATACCTTTGCCTATGGCAACAGCTCGCCCTCTTTTTGTTCTCTATGTATACATTGGAGGTTTACACCTGGTACTAGCTGTTCAATCAATACCAAATGTTCCATTCCAGAAAACTGTGTCCCTTCACTCATTTAGGGTGTTCCATCCAAACCCATTTCAGTCTCTCAGCACTGACCTGCATGAAGAATTTTCAAAATAATTTTGCAGTATTTGGATAAGATTTGGTTCAATTACTACAGGATTCAAGAGTGACCGGACGATGTCCAACATATATCATGCAACACAACTAATGATGACCAGTGAAGCATTGGTCTTGCTCTTACAAGCTAGGTATTCCATTCTGCAGCTTACATAACATATAAGCACGGAGCATTACATATGTAGCACATAGCAGTAGAACTAGAAAGTAAGTAGTCAATCATCTTTCTCAGCTTTTTTTTTTCGCGAACATGCCACTGCAAGTATTTCATTAAGAGGATAGCGGTACACAACACCTAGAGACCCTCGCAGGCGAGATACCTTGGGAATTCTAGAAACCCAAAGGATAAAGAAAAAGATACAGCGAGGAAGCACGAAGGGCTATTTACACAAGAACTGATTTGCGACTGAAAGAAGCCAAACCCCTATCAAACTGGAGCGTGCACTAGGAACTCCGACAGACGCCGGTACCCTGCAATCCAGTCGTTGGGCGCTCGTTTGATGTGCCCAATCTCCTGCTTCAGTTTCAGTCACTCATCGACGTCTGCAGCACAGCAAGGAATTACACGTGTGGAAGACTTAGTTGCCTTCGATAGCAATGTGTACTGTGTTGTGCCATCGGATCAAAAAAATAAAAAAGAGAAGATACTGTGAAAGGCTTAATTATAGGTAGGGCTGAATAACTAGCCAGCTTGGCTCGGCTCGGCAGTTCGGCTTGTTATCTTAACGAGCCAGAAGGCCAGCTCGGCTCAGCTCGTTTAGCTCGTGAGCCAGGTATACAAAACACACAAAACGTGTTTTACATTTATTTAAAACTTGAGACTAGTAATAATACAAAAGTAATATATGTAGTGGCATGTTGAAACTATCATGAGCTTGTTCTTCCCAAGGTCCTTAGTCACGGGATCTCTGATCAAATGGTGCCAACACCCTCCATTTATAGTATATAGAAGTAGGGGGGGTATTCTAGCTATGTGTGAGGCGGTGGAGCATCCATGTGGGGTCGGGCGATGTCCTTGGACTTCAGCTGACGGTCCATTTCCACCGCCTTGCAAACCAACGGCGTGGATGGACTCCTAGTAGCGGGTGATGGCCAACTGACTTGGTCTGAAACGGTTTGGTGAGAATGGGTCGTCGCCGACGTGGACCACATGTACGTGCACTCCTAGTAGCAAGTTAAACTTATTGAAAACAAAATGCTTATTATATTGGTATCCGTGGTTCTTTTTCTAAGTGGATTGTAGAATGTAATCAAATAAAACATATTATTTGCAAGAATCATATATATTATGTTGTAAGGAAGGGGAGTGATCTGGCACATGGCGACACACTCATCCTCCTACAAATTGTAAATGCCCTCATAATCCTAGAAAAATGAAAGAAGTTGTTGGTGTATGTGTGTACTAGTCATTTATATACTAATCAATGTTATTGTAAACTGGTGGTCACTAGTCTTTATTGACTTTTTAACAAAATTCTTTGTTTTCCATTACTAATCATATGGTCTCAAGTGTCCGCAGTTCAAACATCAGTAATATATTAACCATTCATAAGTAAATAAATGGCATAGAACAAATAAAGTTGGTGAAATATATTACCTTTTCTTTTAGCCTGCCAAGAAACAAAGTATCTCACCACTTGCATGTGACATGCGTGTGGTGTCATGTATGTCCATATATACAGAAGGAAGATGTTTTCACAGCTTTTTATGGGTTGCTAGAAGACTAGTCATTAAGCGTTACTAAAAACACAAAAATCTTTGGATGCTATAATAAATTTTCGCTTGTATGCAGCTGAGTGTGTCAGCTACAAATTTTTGCAGAATTTCCGCTTGCCTGCAGCTGAGTGTGTCAGCTACAAATTGGTTCAAGCATTTTGTGTGGTATATGTGGTCACTTTGGAGAAGGAGGATTTTCAACTTCGGGAAAAGGTATCGCTTGTTCCCGCCATTTTTGGGGGTCCTGGATGGGAAGCCTGCTACTCATATCTATCACATGTAGTAGATGTGCTTTACCAGCTCTTAACGTCCATACCAATGGACCCGAAAGAAACTCAACCAACATAATGTTTCAACTCGCCGAGCCTAGCCACCGGCTTCGGTCTCCTCTTCCTCTATCTCCTCGTCACTGACTCGTTGCTAACTCACCATTGGCTTCGAAGGTGCTCATCGAGCAGTAGCACAAGCCTAGAAAGAGTTTAGAAAGGGAGGCAGCCGATGGGCCTGTGTGCAAACATGTGTGCTTAGGCCAATGTGGTGGGATACGGTGTCCAAATAACCCTACATGACCATCATTTGAACATTATTAGACGCTTTAAGGGCTATAATATCACATTTATAGTTGAGGGGGCCATGCGGTCAACACTTGATATGTTAGGGGTTTATATGGACTTTTTAATATGCAACCTCAGCAAAACCACCTTCAAAACCGTCTCAGGGGGTTATTTAGACGATTTTCAATATTTTGAATGGTAGAATACCTGGTTTTATAGGTGAGGGGTGAAGTAGACAATCACCAATAGTTGAGGGGGTTAAGTAGAATTTTTCCTTTTCTTGTATACATCAGTGATGTGTCTTGGACATTGTACCATTTCAGTCTACATGTAAATTGGGACACATGCTGGTATTTGTAATAAGTTTGTTGTAAGAAACCGGAATTTCATCCATTGTCTAAACATAGATGCAGGTTGTGCACACCAATCTGAATATGGATAGATCAATCAACAAAATTGTATTTTGATAGATTCCAAAAAAATGTTATAGTCTGATCCCAAAATCATTTCAAGCAGTGGAATAGGATGCATGGTAACTACTACTCATATGCTAGATAATATGTTGACATTTTAACAATGGTGGTTGCATACAAACACATTAAACATGAACACAATTCTCTCTAAGCTCCGATGATAAAATTAAATATCTACAAATGCCAAGATGAATGGGATGATGCCAGTTTTGTGGAGCTAATTTTTATTTTAGATAAAGACAACATCGAGGCAATGGTGCCTGTGCTGTCATAGCCTGCATGTGAAAGGTGATGATGTCGGCAAAGTCGAAGCTGCACCAGTGACATGCAGAGTTAGCTGCAAAGGGATATATGTAGATTAGTTGATGCATGGGTGGAGTTCATAAGAGGTCTCAGTTTTTGGGATAATAAGTGCACTGGAGTTGCATTGGTTGTGTTGGCAGTTATGACATTGTACATATAAGGTTGAGATTATTGTGTGGTGGGATTTTTTTTGTGGGATGTGTGGTGGGATTTGATGTTATGCTGGAACAATGTTTTCTTAACGGTGAAAAGATACAGAGATAGAGTGAGAGCCTTCCTTTCTGTCCCTATGAACAAGATAAATGGATTTACCTCTCTTAAGTTTTAGGAATTGATCATATGTACCTCTTAGCAGGAGAAACATATTAGTTTTTAAAGCATGGGATGAAGTATGGACCATCTTTAGGTCATACCATCATAACTCTACTTTGCTGATTATTAAAACATAGTGGTAATATAAATCTAACTCAGCAAACATGATATTGGAAAAACAAAAGGCATTAGATTACTGTCATCATACCTTCGATTTTTCCAATATCAAGTTTGTTGGCAAATGATGAACCTCTTGTTGACACAAAAAAGATATATTTTTTTGTATAGACTCCATAGCAAACTTGAATTCAGCAATGACAGATAGTATATATTATATATCACACTCATTCATCCATTTGTTTCTGTTCTATATATCCTCCTCATTTGTTTTGTGTTCTATAGAACATGAATACCACACCTATGAATTTACTAGGCATAATACTTATGATTTATGAATGTCTATTCTAAGTTTTAGAACTGATTAATGAATTTATATTATAGTTATATATAATGTATTGATTTAGCCATTTAGTTTTGTCTATTTCTTTGTGTATGATACATTTTCCCTTATGATATTGAGATACAATAGAGGGTATTTATATTCATATTATATGGTGTAGTCAGGGACGTAGCCAGCGGTGGGGCTAGGGGGGCTTCAGCCCCCCCTACCCATCCTGAGCACATGGAGTTTTCCTAAGTCATCCCTTAAAATTTTATGCATACATGTATTAGGTAGGAGGGGCTAAGGTTAAGAGAAGATAAAAAAATCTCTATTATTTTGTTCAGCCCCTCCTAAATTTTTTTCTAGCTTCGTCACTGGGTGTAGTATATATCACACTCATATAATATGGTGTCTGTTCTATCCTCCTCATTTATCTTTGTGTTGTACAGAACATGAATACCACAACTGCCAAGGGAAAAGGAGCTCCTCAAAATGCAAATGATGCAACACTCATTATTGAGCCCTTGACTACAGCCTATCCAAGGGAACTAGTGGTCTACACACCAAAAAACCATTATGATGCATCCAGCATATAATGATGGATGAAAGGTTCTCCTCCACATTAGGCTAGATGGAAGAGCTGATTTAGTAATGTCTCATTCCTTCCTTAGTTTATTTCAAGATATTATCTATTTCCATTTTATATGAAATATTTTCCATGCTTTGGTATTTGTTTGATGTTTTATCTTATCTCTCCTTACCTAGTAGTTAACAAAAGAAAATGTTTAATTTCTCAATGTCTCAAAATGGAATATGGGGTTATTATAATTTGTTTCCGCATTTATGTAATAACTTAGACAGCATTGATTTAATAACATCATCATATTTGACATTCTGAGGAACCTAAACTTGCACATATTTGACATTCTGAGGAACCTAAATTTGTCACCACAAAACGTTTATACTGAAATTTATTGTCTAGTTACTATTATTTGTGTTGTATAGAACATGAATACCACACCTACGTACAAGGCAAAAGGAGTGATCCATGATACCGTTGGTAACCATGCTGAATAAGGATTAGGAGGCTTCAATACAAAACCACTCAAACAGGTCCACCACCAACCATGCCTTATAATCAAGGTAAAATTTGCTGGTGGACACTGAAAGTGAGATTTCTTTGCCAGCGGATACCAAAAATAAATTGATTTGCTAGTGGACACTTCACTTTTGTGCCAAATTTGCTGTAGGATACCGAGCGCATTAAAGTATTCTTTTCTGCCTTAGGAGGTGAGAGAACAATTGTGAAATGATGATTTTGCCCCTGGTTCTTTCTTCTTCCTCTTCCCTTTCTTCTTCGTGGCCGTGCACTGGAACCTGACACAGTGGATTGAACCGACACATGGCTGCCTCCCTGACAAAGCAACGCTTCCATGAATTGAACGGATGGTCACGAATCAGCGCGGCTTGTTACGTGCGATGTACAGTTGAAGCGGTAGTAGACGGCAGTGGTAGCCATGGACGTGATCCCGAAGCTGGACATGACCACCGCCACCAGCCGCGTGCACCGCCATGGCCACCCGCGCGGCCTCCGCCTCCGCCTTCGCGTCCCCTCTATCACCGTCGGCAACAACCACGGCCTTGTCCTCCAGCGCTGCACGCGCGGGCATAGCGCGCTGGGCCGCTAAGGCAGTAGGATGCGCGAGCACTAGGACCAACAACCGTGGCCCCACATGCGTAGGGGGCAAGGCCGGGTGGGGCCTTTGGACGTGGCATGGGGCAACAGGGAATGGGGCAGAAACACTGTAATAGAAACACACTTTTGTAACACTAGACACTAGCACACTTTTTCACTTTTCTCTTCACTTCCGGCATTAACACACACTGACTACATGCTTAAATAACACACATGCTCCATGACTGGCCATACAACCCAGGTGGTGCACTTTGTGGCCTGAACAACAATGACAATATGGGGAATATATCTTCGTACAGACAGCATAATAAATCTTACTGGGCCCTTAAAACAAGATCAGTGCACATGTGCACATGTGTTGACGATAGTTATCATCCATCAAGAACCGTCAACATAACTTGAATAAATGCATGAAAATGATCACCAACATAGACTTAGGGGTTAAACTGACAAATTTCACAAGTTTTGGTGAATCTGTGTTTTCAGCAGGGTTTATCTAGAAAACCGTCAAGGTGGATCAAATTGTCAAATTAAATCACAATTATCCATGACGAAAATAGCGTTAGAAGGTTCTAGAGATCACCAGATGCCATCCCCCCAAAGCAGACTGCGGGAGGATGACATGTGGGGCCTACCAGGCTGGCTAGGGCCCCTGTCCCCACATGTCAGCCCCAACTTCAAACGTCGGTTCTCCACCGCCTTAGGGTCTGCATCTTCACCGTTCTTTCAAGTCGATTTGATCCGAGGGTCCAGAATTGGCGCTACCCCCTATATATATCAGCCCCTACCACCCCCTGGCATAACCCTGATCATTAAGTCAAGAAGGATCAGAAATTAGGGTTTCAAGAGACAAGAGAATGGAGCTCCGATTCTTCAAGTTCTAGTATAGGCTAGTTAGCAAGATTCAAGTAGAGTTGGGCTATTGCTCAGGATTTCGGATTCGTCGTCCGGAGGCTGGTAAAGACATTGTATCCCTCTATATTTTGACTTTGTGCTACTTGCCTACTTCAATACTATGTTTCTATCTATTATGTTCCTAGTTTGCTTTGGTAATAGTCTTGATATAGTCATGATTGATAATGAATTTAAGCATATGTTCGCAAAACGCTTAGCTCATTACTCGAGTGAGTTAAGTGGTCGACATTATGCAAGCATGGTGCTTAAATATTGTTTACCTGTGGATGCACTCTACACTCCGGGCCATGTGGTAGATCGTGAGTGTGACATTCTTGTTGAGTCCTTTGTAGTCCACTCCCCATTTGTAGAACAAGTAGAACCTGGTTGCGACGGGAGTCAAGCTTTATTCTTGATTTTCCTTAGTAATGTTCCTTATGCGTAGATACATAGTTAGTTATGCTATAGATAAAAGTGTATATACTAGAGTGTTCAAAACACTTAGTAAATAAGAAATGACTTATGAATCTTTTCTCTTAATTAATCTCCTGCCTAGCCATACTACATTTATGAGTATCTATTTCTATCTCTGAATTATTATCAATGCCTTACACTTATAATTTATTTATCATTTGTCTTACCCCTGTTAAAGCACAAGAGTTAATGATCTTATCATAAGTATACATATTTGTCAATATCTCCAGCGACCCCATCACTCCTCCCTATGGAAAAATATAAATAACGATGATGGCAAATGAATTTGAGATGTCCATGATTGGAGAGCTTAGTTACTTCCTTTGTCATCAAATCAAGCAATTAAAGAATGGCATATTTTGAGTCAAGGAAAGTACATCAAAGACATGCTCAAGAAGTTTGGAATGGATGATGCTAAAGGTATTAGTACACCAATGGGGACAAATAGAAGCTTGGATAGTGATGCTAGTGGCAACATGGTCGATCAAAAGATGTATCGGTCTATGATTGGAAGCCTACTCTATGTGACCCCATCAAGGCCGGATGTGATGTTTAGTGTATGCATGTGTGCTAGATTCCAAGACTCACCTAGAGAGAGTCATTTGAAGGCAACAAAGAGAATATTGAGGTACTTGAAGCATACACAAAATGTTGGATTATGTTATCCCAAAGGAGCAAGATTTGAGTTGATTGGATATTTGGACTCTGATTATGCGGGATGCAAAGTTGAGAGAAAGAGCACATCTGGCACATGTCAACTATTGGGAAGATCACTTATGTCTTGGTCATCAAAGAAGCAAAATAGTGTAGCACTTTGAACCGCCGAAGCAGAGTACATTTCAGTCGGTAGTTGTTGTGCTCAATTACTTTGGATGAAGGCTACTTTGAATGATTTTGGAATCAAGTTCAAACAAGTGCCATTACTATGTGACAATGAGAGTGCCGTGAAGCTCACCAACAACCCGGTTCAACATTCAAGAACAAAGCACATAGATGTCCGCCATCACTTCATAAGAGATCATCAACAAAAAGGGGACATTTGCATTGAGAGAGTGGGCACCAATGATCAACTTGCTGATATCTTCACCAAGCCACTTGATGAAAAGAGGTTTTGCAAGCTAAGAAATGAATTGAACATACTTGACTTCTCAAATATGTGTTGATGCACCCCATGATATGACATGCCTCTCCTTTGAGCAAAGCAAGGTAAAGGTTGATTGGCATGCATACATACTTTGTTAAGGACTTGTTTAGTGCATCTAGTCATTCCTATCATGTCTTAGGATCATTCATGAAAATCAAATGAAATTGATGATTGTATGGTACCACTATTGCTTGTATGCTTGAAATGATCTAGTGGTAGCATATGGCATGTTTGTGGGCTTGTGAACCTAGTGTTTGATCTAGAAAATGATCTATAAGTGTTTAACTCAACATGGTCAAGATAACCCTTGAAATGAGGTGTGAAGAAGCTTGCCCTTGGATCAAACCGAGTTAAATATCTTTTGCATGTGATCTAGATTGAACCAAATTGGGAAAATGATCCTCACTTAACATGGTTTCACCCCGCCCTATCTACAATTTGAGCTCACCTTTTGTGCTAATTGTTGACAAAGGGGGAGAGAAATTCACAAAGATAGTAAGAGATAGGGAGAGCAAACAAATGAAATGACATTGTAAGGGGATCAATTAAAATTTAAAGCACACAAGTAGGGGGAGCAAGCTCATAAACTTGTATGTTGCATTTGTATGTGCATTACATATGTTTGCTTGGATGGCACAAGTTCTTAAATTCCCTATCCATGCTTGTGTGGTGTATGCTAGATTGTAGAAAATTATTGATGAAATGAAAAACTAGCATGCATAGGATAGCTAGATATTCCTTGATCTTTTACAAGTGGTATTAGAGCCTTGCTTCTAATGTTGATCTCCCAAGGTAGTTTTTCAAGTGATATCTAGCAAAATTATGGTGGTAAGGATGGTGTTCAAATGGCAACTCCGATTGGTATCACGCTTCAAAGGTCCATTCTTTACACCTTAGCATCATTTGGTAGTTATTACTCTCCCAAACTTCCAATCCATGCATATGTGCAAGCTTTCAAATCCAAACTCTTAGCACATATGTAGGGGGAGCTAATACTAACAACACTAGTAGAGAAACGGGCTGTACTCCCGGTTCTCAACCCCCTTCAGTCCCGGTTTTGAAACCAGAGTACGAAATCGGGACTAAAGGGCCCCTCTTTTAGTCCCGATTTCGTGCCGGGACTAAAGGGTGGTAAGACCAACTGGGACTAAAGAGGGCTCCCGGCCTGGCCACATTGGCCGACCCTTTAGTCCCGGTTGGTATTACCAACCGGGACTAAAGGTTTCCTTTTTTTTCTTTTTTTTGTTTCTATTTTCAATTGATGATTCGTTTTGGTTTTCGAATACATATTCTACTGCTAATAATATACGTATTCTACACGTTTATAATGTTCGAACATTTTGTATAAACTAAAGTATGAAACTAATGTATATATTACATGCATATACATATATTGTACGTTATTTTATATACATATAATATGTATATATATATATATATTACAAATAAAGCTTTCTTTGTATATTCTATCATATCCTTGGGATAACAAATTCACACTATCTGGTTTGGCTTCCATGTTTCGTTGACGTCATTGTAGAACTCGCCGGCGGGGTTTAGGACCTGGTCATTTAGAAATCCTGCTATGGTCTCTTGAATTACTTTCAGTTGGTCACGTCGTATGACTTTTTCCTTCAACCATAGAGTCTTCAATAAAAGTTAAAGGAAAAGTATTAATATATATATATATGTGTGTGTGTGTGTGTGTGTGTGTGTTGGTCACGTGATTACTTATATATATGAGCAATAAAAGAAATTATGAATATATGAATATATTTATATAACGTACTTTGAGCATCTCTTCAGGAGTTCTTTTTGAGTACATCATGATGAACTCGCAAACATAGTATCTGCAGTAGTTGTTCCCCTGTTCTTGCCTCAGGACCCACTTTTACGAGAAAAAAGATCCGGTGAATTGAAAGCATGCATGGTGTTAATTGAATTATATATATATATATATAAATGTAGCTAGTACTTACTTTGTGTGCGATTACATCCAGTGGCGCTTTGCAATGTTGCATGTGTTGTTCCTCAATGAAACTTTTCCAAACACTTCGCACAATAAAATAAAAAATTAATTTGGCCTTTAATAATTGTTGCAGTTAAGAGATTGGATATATATAGTTGCTAGAGAGATCAAATTATTTTTGGATAATATCTATCATGTCTTGGTACTCTGTTTGCGCTTTTCTTAACGAGTCTAAGATGCTCAACCGACTATTGGCCATATCGATGACCATCAATATCCAGTGATTGCTGCATATGTTTTTATACACAAATATGATCGAGATTAACTAGAGTCAACATATATATATGGGAGATAGCTTAGCTAGTAAGCAAATAATTAAACAAATGTCCATATGATCGACATTAATTATTTAACACTCACTTGAAGTTGTAGGGGGAAGAGTATGGTCTTGTTTTGTTGGTTCACTAAGAACCTCATGAGATTTTTCTCGAGTTCAACTTTCCATTGAGGCAGGGGACGAGGGTGTTTGAATACGACATTTGGATCAACGAAACCAACATCATTATCCTTTCTCTTTCTGAGTTCTGTCATTGCATATCTGCATATATAAAAATATAGTGTGAGGATATATAATT